ACGCTCACGATTATGGTAAGGGGTGTTACATTTCCGACGCGTGCTTGTGGTGTTCGGCCAATCACAATGCACTGGGTCAGCTGGCCAATCAGAGCAGACTGTTCTTATCGGAAGGAGGGACTTTGTTTGAGAGAGGTGGGGCATAGAGGACTTACAATAATGTACAGTATTTGAAAAATAATGTGTTTTTTGAACATTAAAGCATGTCAACACATTCTGTTACACCAAATACACAAAATAATGATCTTTAAAAAAGCATCATATGACCCGTTTAAATCACTCCCCACTAGCTTTCTTTAATATGGAAGCCCGTTTCCGCAACGGAATAATAAAAAAAGGTAATTGTGACTTTTTATTTCACAATTCAAGTGATCTTCAATTCAATCTTTTCTTGCAGGTCTTGCTATTCTGACTTTTTTTCTTCTTTTTTTATCACGTGGCAAAAATAAGTATCAATACTTTAAACATAATGAAAGAACACAGCTATATTATCATAGCTGTTTTATTTATGTAATAAATAATGTAGATAATGTTTATGTAATAGATGATGTAGCTATATGGCAATACAGTTTAAGAAGACCTGCTCATCATTTTGGATCATTCATTGATGAGGGAAAAAAATACATGAGATATACAGGATTATAAACTATGTTATCGTTGATATTTTTCTAAACCTGTCATACTAGACAATGGAAGCAAACCCAGTGAGCCACTTGACTGCACACAACTTGGAAAAACAGGATGCAAGGTTGTGGACAGTATATCTCAAACTTGTTTGCTTCCTCTTATGTATGGCGCTTTTCCACAGCGTGGTACGACTCGGCTCGGCACGGCACGGCACGGCACGGCACGGTTTGCGTTTCCACTGCAGTTCAGTACCGCTTTAGAGTGGGCGGGATTATTCACATGTCGTTATAGTTGCACCGCCTCTACTACCACGACTCCTAAAAAAACTCGTTTTCATTCCGCGTGGCCCCATCAAGCTCTCGCTGGATCTGCTCCTCTGCTATCAACGAGAGAAACGTCTGTTCTTCCGCAACAGACAACAAAACTTTTTGGTTGTTAAAAAAAGGTGCGCTCATTCAAAACAGTTGCGTTCGATCCTTCGATGGCTGTGCTGATTTAAATCTAGCGGTTCTGTTGTATTTGTGTCACAAGTTCAGTGACGCAGGTAGTGACGATTCTCTCCGGCCAATCCGTGATCAGCAAAGTTTACACGTCACGTTTTGGTAACGGTACGGTTCACTTGGAACTCCAACCGAGGTGGTACTAAAAAAAGTACCAGGTACCAGGTACTGTACCCAGTGGAAAAACCCCCAAAAGTGAACCGTACCGAGCCGTACCGTGCCGTACCATGCAGTGGAAAAGCGCCATTAGAATCCTATTACCAGGTAGCTACATTCTAGAAAAGTTTTTTGATAAGAGCAGTAATCAGAATAATGAGACTATTTACTATTTAATGAGTGTGCTGCTTTGGTGTTGCTAACATGAATTGATACCTATTTCATGTCTATTCATGACTTATGTAGCGTCTGGACCAATCAAACACACAATATATATTTTGTTTTTATATTTAACAAATACTCTGTAACCCCCCTCAGTTAAAAAGCCATATGAGGACCCATGAACCCTTCCCCCCGGAATGCGTAACACCCCAGGAAGCCGAACAGGCCCCTTGTTGCATGGCAACTAATCATGATATCACTGGTTTTATGACCCCCCATGAATGTGAGTAGAATAACCCACTCTTTGTCCCCATAGGAAAGGCAGAGCAGAAATGCTTTTCTACTAATTAATTCATAGGAAAACCTTTCTTCGAATGAACACACATATTCTTCAGGCCATTGTGTATATTATTGCTGTTTTGTATTAATCTGTTGTATTATAGACTATTTTATTCATGCTTACGATAAACCACTCATTCATATAACCTTACATATACCGTGTTTAGTATCTATGAATTCGCCTTCTGATGATCTAAACAAGAGTGTATATTATATGTTGGTACATAGGCAATATATATTAGGATCCTGAGAACCTGTAGTAATTTCGATTCAAGTCCATTTCTATTTTACCATGCTTTCAAACAAAGGGCCATAAAAACGCCCACTTGGGATTCCGGCCTCTCTCATTGGTTAAGCCCATCTTGAGAGGC